CTAACTTGTTCATTATAACCTAGGTTTAAACATTTGCACATGTCATGTGATTGAGGGGTAAGTTAAAACTGCTGGCAGTGGAAGGGGCTGGAAATCAGGTCTCTTATCTCAAGTGGATGGAAAAAATGAGGTTGTTCAAGGTAGCTCACTCAACTTGTACAGGTCCCTTCTGTCCAAAACCAGGGAGACTGCTTCTGCCCTGGAAACACAGGCACTCCTCATTGGCTGGGTTGGGCAAATACCCATAACATTAAGCATTTTCCCTGTTCTTTTTCCCCCTTCTTTTCCATGTTGCAAGTGATGGCAGTGTACGTGAGATTATCCTACTGGTCACCAGTACTTTCTCAGTGCATGAACACACATTACATTCTGTATGTTTGGACTTATACTACAATGCTATTTTGCATCCTGCTTTAGTCACTTCACAATACAGTGTCCCTGGGTCCCCTATTACTGAACCTTATTGCATAGCAGCACTTTGATGGCTACATGGTGTATCATTGGCCTGCTTTACCATAATGTACTTAAATTTTCCTTGGTGTTAGGGGACATTTGCAAGACTTTGTATATCAGCCAGCATCTAATCAGGATACAGAAACCATACTGTTATTTAAGCAGGGTCTACTCCAATGTAAATAATTGACAACTAATAGACTCTGGTTAATTGTGAGTAAAAGAGAACTCTTATGGGCCCAGAAGAAGCAGTTGCAGAAAATAATCTATGGCCTCCAGTTTGAGGAAGAGTGGGCAATTGAGGAGCTAAAGACCAAGAGCGGGCACTGCTCGTTCCCCAGTGTTCTTCAAAGAGGACATGGGCACCACAGGGACATCACCACCCATGGGTGGTACAGAAACTTGTCAGAGGAAAGCATCTGGCCAGCTGGCTGTGCAGCACTATAGATGTGTCTCTGTTGCCGGAAGCTTGAGTAGGCAGAGCTGCTTTGAAGCAGTCCCTAGTAGGGAGAGCAGAGCCTAGGTGCAGGAGGCCTGAGGCCTTCCCCATGGAATAGTAATGGTGGATCCCAAAGGGAATGTCCTTTCCCCAGGCGGAATCACTCCAGTGCCCTCTATCGGTGAAGCGTCACATTGCTGCAGCTGGTAACCTGTCAGAAACCAGGGCCAAGAATGGATTTGAGTTGAGAGACAATAAAGGAATAACTGGAATATTTGGGTTTGCTTTTAGCTTTTTTTTTCTTCTGTAAACAGTGTTACAGTAAACATCTTTCATAAAATGTTGTCTGCATCTCTGAAGTGTTTGTAGGATAAATTCGTAGAATTTGAACATTTTAAAGGCCTTAGTCATATGTTACAAAATCATCCTTCCTGTTGACTCTCCTGTATGCTGTGTATGGGAGCAAAGGCATGTAGCCTTGTTATAGAACTTATTACTCCTTAACCTTTCTAATTGTGGCTTTGTCTGCTGGGTTGTTAACTCTGAGGCTGGGAGATGCTCAGAGCCAGCAGTGCCAGGCTTGGAGCCTGCAGTCTGATGTAATGAGGGCCAGGCTCTGCCGTGGTGGGAGGCAGCAGTGTGTTGCTGAAGTCCTCCCTCACCTCGCTCAGTCTCCTGAACACACTCCCCTCCCATCTCCTTCACTGCTTCAACAAATTCATTTCCCTAAAACCTCCTCTTCATCCTATCAGTAACCTTGCTCAAAAGCTTTAAATGTTTCCTCTATGCTTGTGGCAGTGCTGATGAAGAGAAGAGGAGAGAACTGACCTATGGCCCTGGGCCCCTGGCCTCCATTCTGTTGTTGAGAGACTGAAGCAAATTGACCTGCCCAAGGTCATGTGGGAAGTTAGTTGGCCAGGCCCAACCATGGCTTCCTTCCTCCCAGACCTCTGCTTCTCCCAGACACCAGAGAACTGTTGCTGTATCACCCTAACTCCTCATTGTCCTCCCAGCACAGCACCTGCCCCCCGAGAGGTTTTATTAATATGTATCCACTACCCTAGTGCTCACACTGTGCCCTTGCTGGGGCTGCCCCACTATCTGAAATGCCAAGATGGTCCCCCTCAGCTGCTGTGCTCAAGGGGACTGCCTACACCTAGCTGCAAGACCAAGCCCAAGATTTACATCTACATAATTACATTCTATTACTGTTTAACAGATTAGTCAGTAATTCTTATCCTATAGTACTGGAGATGTGGACATGAACTGGGTTCTACCCTGAGCTTTTGGTCCTCAGCCTGGACACCATGCAAAAGTAGGTATGTATGTGCTGGCTCCTACCACGTGAAATTGGCTAAGGAAGCAAGCAACTTCCTGTCTTTGAACAGCGGGCTGCTTTTTTTTGTAGCAATTGTGGACATCTGGTAGTGCATGTTCCTTTAAGGCAAGTTTGTCGTCTCCAGAAAAGCATGTTGTTCTTTCTATCTCCCACAAGTCCTTGATTAAAACACTGAAGGGGACAGGCAGTCTCCTTCTGTCCTCTCCCTCAGGCTTACCATGTCCTGGCAGATTCTCTGGGCTTCTGGGAGCTGTCTACCTGCCTCTGTCTGCTCCTTCTGACCCAGATCTTACTGCAGATACAGAGAGCGCAAACCATTTATTGCAGAACAGGTCCTTCACCTCCATATTCTGTGTTTACAGACCACAAATAGGTAGTTAATAGGTATCTCTTACTATTTGTCTTGTTCTTTCTTTTTTTGGCTTTGGGAATTGGATACAGGATATCTGGGTCCTGTGGAAAGTGAAATGATTCGAGAAAAAGACAACAACTGAGAATGGAAGCCTCACTTAGGAGCATGAAAAAAGAGTAGAAAAGAAGTCAGACCACAAATTCTTCAAATTAATGGGTGGGAACGAAGTGCTACCCCTCTAATAGGGTGGCGGGGATGCTGTTTCTGATGGTGTGCAGCCCCTGGAAGGCTAGAGCATCAGTAAATGGGTGTTTATAGCCGCTGACTACCTTTTCTTCCTTATCCTTCTTCCTCATCCCCACCTCTTTGACTTTTTTCCTCTGTTTTTTTGGGTGGTGCCTGGATTTTATTTTAGGGTATTTTAACATGCCTCCTTAACGTCAGATCTATAGTCCTGTCTGGAGACATTGCTCAGTAGCTTAGCAACCAGCATATCATATATTGCCCTCAGTTGTTTCATTAGCCTGAAGATGTGAACCTCAGAAAAATGGACACACAGTGGACGTAAACGATCAGGCTTGCAGGCAAAAACAGTCTTTGTGATGATTAAGAAACGGTCCTGAAGAACAGCATTATTTTATAGTAACATATCCTAAGGAAGGACCTCCTCACATCTGGGGAGAGAGACAGACACAGACAAGGATGGAGAGGGAGTGAGGAGAGACAGAGCCAGGGAAGATGCTGGAGCTGCCTGCTCTCCATGGGGCCTGAACGCACAGGATAGGGAGCCTTCCTCCCTGTGGACCTCTTGTTGTCCTTGCTAAAAAACAGGAAGAAGAATAGAATTGGAATTTTTGAGCAGGCATAATTCTTAATTTATCTGACTAAGTAGAAAGTTGGCATACTGAGAAAAACAGATTTCAGAGGGAAACATGACAACAATGACATTTTTCTGTGCTGTCTTATTACCCAGGCCGCACAGACGCTGAGTCAATGAGCTAGTTCTGTAAAGAAACACAGAGGCATCCTATCGAGATGCCTGTGAATGGCAGGGGCTAGTACAGTCTGCAACTGCTGGGTATGAGTAAATATGACAGTAGGGCTTTGGCTGGCTTTCACTCGGCCACTTGTCATTCTCCTCGTACATCGTGTGCAGTCAGGACATTTCCCTGCAGAAATGTTCTTTCTGCTGCTTTCTCATCATTTTTTGAAAAGCTGGCATGAGTTTTGTTTGCTTCAAACTTTATTTATTACCTTGAAATTCAGAATATTTATTTTACATGTGATGTGTAGTCTTACAAAAGTTTAGACTATGATGATTCTGAACTTCGTTTTGCATCAGAATTACTTGGGTTTATAGTGAAAATGCAGCAAACCAGGACCCAGATTCATGGGCTGTGGAGGGGTATCCCCAGAAATCTGCACTCTGATACTCACCCATGGTGATTCTAAAGCAGATGGTCTGAAGATCATAGGACAAATGGAAGATTAAAGACTCGTTTCCCAGAGAGGGCATGTGGCCATTTCTTGGCACTGTGAGTTGATGGATATGTTCTTCGCTTTCATGGAATCCCTTTCCCTATTTGTTGGGGGTATTGTTTTTTTCTTCCCCACATACTTTATTTCCCATAAGCTATTGGGGTACAGGTGGTATTTTGTTACATGAGTAAGTTCTGTAGTGGTAATTTGTGAGATTTTGGTGCACCCATCACCCAAGTAGTATACATTGCACCATATTTGTAGTCTTTTATCCCTCACCCCCCTCCGGCTCTTCCCCCCAAGTCCCCAAAGTCCATTGTATTATTCTTATGCCTTTGCATCCTCATAGCTTAGCTCCCACATATCAGTGAGGACATGTTGTGATGTTTGGCTTTCCATTCCTAAGTTACTTCACCGAGAATAATAGTCTACAGTCTCATCTAGGTCACTGAAAATGCTGTTAACTCACATATATATATATACACACCACAGTTTCCTTACCCACTTGTTGATTGATGGGAATTTGGATTGGTTCCACAATTTTGCCATTGTGAATTGTGCCTCTATAAACGTGCGTGTACAAGTGTCTTTTTTGAATAATGACTTCATTTTTCCTCTGGGTAGATACCCAGTAGTGGGATTGGTGGATCAAATGGCAGTTCTACTTTAGTTCTTTAAGCAATCTCCGCATTGTTTTCTATAGTGGCTGTACTAGTTTACATTCCCACCAGCAGTATAGAAGTGTTCCCTGTTCATGGCATCCATGCCAACATGATTTTTTGATTATGACCATTCTTGCAGGAGTAAGGTGGCATTGCATTGTGGTTTTAATTTGCAGTTCCCTGATCATTAGTGATGTTGAGCATTTTTTCATGTTTGTTGGCCATATGTATATCTTCTTTTGAGAATTGTCTATTCATGTCCTTAGCTCACTTTTTGATGATATTGTTTGTTTTTTTCTTACTGATTTGAGTTTATTGTAGATTCTGGATATCAGTTCTTTGTCAGATGTACAGGTTGTGAAGATTTTCCCCCACACTGTGGGTTGTCTGTTTACTCTGCTGACTGTTCCTTTTGCCGTGTAAAAGCTCTTTAATTAGGTCTCAGCTATTTATCTTTGCTTTTATTGCATTTGCTTTTGGGTTCTTGGTCATGAAATCCTTGCCTGAGCCAATGTCTAGAAGGGTTTTTCCAATGTTATCTTCAAGAGTTTTTATAATTTCAGGACTTCGGTTTAAGTCCTTAATCCATCTTGAGTTGATTTTTGTGTAAGGTGAGAGATGAGGATCCAATTTAATTCTCCTACATGTGGCTGGCCAATTATCCCAGCACTATTTGTGGAAAAGGGTGTCCTTTCCTCACGCTATGTTTCTGTTTGCTTTGATGAAGATCAGTTGGCTGTTAAGTATGTGGGTTTATTTCTGTGTTCTCTGTTCTGTTCCATTGGTCTATGTTCCTGTTTTTAAACCACTACCGTGCTTTTCTGGTGACTATGGCCTTATAGTATAGATTGAAATCAGGTAGTATGATGCCTCCAGGATTATGTCTGCCTCTGCTGAGTCATGCAGGTTGTCAGGAAAGTGGGGGAAAGCCGGTAGTCAGAGGCTTCACCCAGCTCTCACACAAACTGAAGGGCCAGTCTCACTCCCACCGTACAGAGAGAGTTCGGCTAGTGATTTCCTTCTCCCTGTGGAGTTATACCCCCTGCTCCTCTGGCCACCCTCCCGTTGGATCCCTGTGGTACCAGGTGGTAATGGCCTGCTAGGGGATGCAGCGAGCTCCCAGGGCCTTTCTGTTGCTTCCTCTACCCTGTATTTCTCTCGGCTCTCTACATTGGTTCAGCTCCATGTAAGGTTGGAAACTTCTCCTGCAAACAAAGCTTTGGCTTCTCCAGTGGGGTATGTTTTTGGGAGGAGGGTCCCCCTTTCCTACTCCCACAGTGGGGCACTCATAGTATTTGGGGTGTCTCCCAAGTCCTGCAAGAGCAGTCCGCCTCCTTCAGAGGGTCTGTGGGTCCTCTTGGGATTACTGGTTTGCTCTTGCAGTCGATCTGTAGCTAAAAGTCACAATGTGAGCTTCGCAAGCTGCTCTGTCTGGAGTTGCAATTAGTCCTGCCTCCTCTCTGCCATGATGATCCCCTTCCCATTTGCCACTTTAACGCCTTAGAGCCAAGTCTCCCCATTCAGTTGCAGTCCCTCAGTGAGGTAGTAGCCCTCATACACTTTTATATGTCATTTGATGTAGTTTCTTCTCTACCCTCCCTCAGTTGAATGCTGCTTGGATTGACCCTGTCAAAAGATGGCTCCCAAGTGTCACCCATACCAGTTCTTGATATGACAGAGATGACCTTGTGCTCACCTTGTTGAGGGAGAACATCAGCATATAACATTTTGTCAGTGTCTCAGGCAGAGGTGAATTTGTCAGGGCTCCACTAGAGATGCAGCAGCAATAGGAGATGTATAGGAACTGCTCAAGAAATTGCCTCATGTGATTATGGGGGCTGGTTAGGAAAACCTGAAATCCACAGGGCAGGCTGGAACTCTGACATACAAGCTGAATCTGCTGTCTGCTGTCGATGGGTAGAATTTGTTCCTTCAAGGAACCCTCAACTCTGTTTTATTGTTAGTTTTTTGTTTTGTTTTAAAGAGACAGGGTCTCACTCTGTTGCCTAGGCTGGAGTGCGGTATTGGGATCATAGCTCACCGCAGCCTTGACCTTCTGGGCTCAAGCAATCATCCCTCCTCAGCCTTCCAAGTAGCTGGGACCACAGGCATAGGCCACTATGCCCTGCTAAACAATGCTGTTTTTAAGGCCTTTCAGTATATTGAAGCAGGCCCACTGAGATTATCTAGTATAATCTCTCTTACTTAGAGCCAAGTGTTCATCACATCTACAAAATACCTTACAGCAACATCTTAATTAGTGTTCAGGTGACTGGGAACTGTAGTCTAGTCAAGTTGACACATCAAAAAAAAAGGCCATCCAGCACTTCCCCTACCTCATCCCCTCAAAAAAACAAAAACAAAAACAAAAACAAAAAAACGGAAAAAGGAAAAAGACTGTCAAAGAAAGTAAAGTCAGAATTTATTGAGAATTGGCAGTTTGGTGTAGGTGGGCCTTTCAAAGCATGTATGGGTCATGATACAACAGTTTGGATTGATGGAAACTACAGGTTTCGAGGAAGGGGGTTCAAAGAATCTTAGGGTACAAACAGTTGATGCTTTTCATTTGAGTTTCTGTGTATTTCAGAAAGTTCTTGTAATGAGCAGTCATACCATTCTGCCTAGGCAAGGAGACTTCTGGAAAAATAAAGTTATGCCAATGAAGACAGAGGAAGCGTACAAAGTGCTGTTATTGCTGACACTGGCAGGTTTGCATTCTCAGTGACCAGCTGAGTGTGGGTGTGAGGTAGATGGTTTCTGTTCTCAGCCCAGAGGCTCTGGATTCCTTTCTCAGGAAGCAGGACACACGACTCTTATTCCCAAAGCCTGAGCCTTGAAATTCCCCTTCTTACTGTGCACAGATATGCCTTCCATATTGCCCAGCTGGCTCCTCAAGAGAGGGATGACACATACACTAGCAGCAAATCAGAGCCGCAGTGCCACCCCTTACTCCTGCTCCTCCCTCTTTTTAAATGGTGGAAGATCAGTTTACCTTTCAAGTGTCCCATTTTCCTATTCTTTGTGCATCTCTGTCTCTAAGCGACCACTCAGGACTTTTCTCTATTCCATGAGGATGTCTCGTCCTTTCATGCCCCAGACCTTTGAGATGTGATGTTTCCTCCTCTCTCCTGGGAAATCCTGCCTATGCCCAGAGGACCCTCTTGAATGTCACCTCCTCTAAAAGCCTTTGCTGCACACCCTGTTCTTCCCCTCTCCCCACATCACACCTGAGTGCTGATGCAGGGCTGGTCACCCCCAGGACTTTGCCTTGGTACAGATACAGTTATTACATGTCAGTTTCTCTCACTTTGACCAATTCCCAGCAGACAGGAATTAGTCCTATTTCACTTTGTATCTGCCTTGGTGCCTCATCTGTAGCTGGCATACAGTAGTTCAGCCATTTATTCAATAGATAGTTTTTGAGTGCCAGCATGTACCAGGCCATAGGTGTCCACTGTTCTGGATGGGAGTGATTTAGACATAATAAACTATCTGCTCTCGTGGAGGTTACATCCTGGGGGCAAGGAAGACAGCCAATGAACAAAAAAGATGAATAAGTAAAAGCATATACACAGCACTTATTGATGCTCAGAGGGCTGCTCCCTCTGAAACCAACTGAGGACTGAACAGGATAAGAAAAGCGAATGAGAGATTCCCAGCCTCCAATATAAAGCATGCTTGTGAGACAGAATTCATCCTTAGCCATGCTGGTCAACTTACAGAAGAGGTATGAATTTGCTAATGTTTGTTACCCTGCTGGATAGATGTTTCTGTCCTTAGGGTAACAGATTGTGCTATTAGTTTTATTTATTGTTTACATATAAGATATAGCTAAAAACAAATTAGCGTATGGCAGTGTGCTTTTTGGATGGTATTTTTGTGCTTAATAATAAACAGTGATCTCTCCTCTCCCCCCCCCCCCCCATTTCTTTAGCACTTGCAATGTACAGGCACTGTTCTAAGCACTTTAAATGTATTATGTCACTTAGTCCTCAGAACAACCTTAGAAAATAGGGAATATTCTCATTTTCCATGTGACAAAGCCAGGGATATGAGAAAGCTGGGGACATGAGGACAGCTGTGCCACTTGCACCAGCTTTTCCAGCTCGAAAGTGAAATGTGTGTCCCATCTGGGTGGTCCTGTCACTTCTAAACTACGCACTATGCCTCTTGCATGGGATTTATGAAATCAGAACAATGGCACGCCTCTTTCTTTGTTAACAAAGTTTACATCCCAAGTTAGGCCTTTCTTACAGAGCCAAAGTTTTCATCAGCACATGGTGAAAAAGCTGTAATCCACTTTACTTTCTGGATAGAATACAGTCTCAGAAAGAGTGATCTACCATTGCCTTTGTTTCTGAGTTTGGTCTGTCTTTCTGTCAGGACCTTAAAATGTTTAATGCATATTTTAGTAGTTCTTCTGCATATCTCCTTTTCTTCTAACATATAAGACACTGATTTTAAAACATGGGGGAAGGAAGGCAGAGAAGATAAACATAACTATTGACTGAGAAGGCACAGGCAGAAGGTACTGCTATCTCTGGGACATCAGGAATTGCTCCCATTCTTGAGCCAGTTCGAGTCTAGTTGCATCGCTGGTGTCTGTTTCCTCTTGTTCTCATTCACCTCTAACAGTGCATTGTTCTTCCCACTTTGGGGAAGAGAACTTAGGTCAGAGGAATTAAGTAGTTTGTACTGAGACCACTCAGCTGGTGGGAAACAGAGGAGGAAGTGAGCCCAGCCTTATCAGAGGATTTAATAATGATTTGCTTTCAAACAAACAATCCTCAAAACCCTTTCTTGAAAGCAATCTTGCTTGAGTTCCAAAAAGGAATGAGTGAACCTTGAAGGAGTGCCTGAGGGAGCCTAGAGGCCAACTGTGGAATTTCCCCCAGCCCTCCTCCCACCGAGCACCCAGTATGTCATCCTGGGTGTGGCAAGGAAGCCCTGGGACTGTGGGGAGCATTCCTTAGCCCCTGTCCTGATTCTTTGCTCTCATGTATGTTGAGTGACTGATGAACTCTCCCCTCTAAAGGTAAATGCAAGGTCTGGGTCTTACCTTTGTCAGGCAGACAGAGTACAGCCTTTGTTGTCAGATTACCTGGGTGTGAATCCTCTCATCCTCCTCCATAATGTTGGGCAAATAACTTACCCCCTCAGCAGCTTTGCTTTCCCACCTTTAACGTGGGCATAGAGTCATGACGTTGGTTACATAAGCATGAGAAACAAAAACTCCCAGCGCAGTTTCTTTCAATAAATGTTAGTTTATTGTTTTTGTTAGGAATGCCTCATCACAACTCCAAATCTCCATGATTATTAGAAAGATTATTTCTAAACCCTCCTGGTCCCTTTATACCCTTAGGGCCTTCTTCCCTTCTATTTGGAAAAATTTGGGAAGAATAAACTAGACCTCTTTCCTCTTGGGAAGGGACCTCCCTTAAGTCTCACATGAACAGGTATGCCTGACCCAAGGGTTCAGGGGTTCAGTTAGTGCACCTGCTGACTCACTCTGAGCCTTGTTCTCCATCATCACTAATATAAAGGATTTTTAGTTCTCCATCTTATTTTCTCAAGTTGTTTAGAACTTGAGCAAAGACGGGGTATGTTCTGTATTTGGCTTCCTTAGAACTCTATTGTTAGTGTTTGCCATCTTCCTTTTCATTTCTCGCAGAGTCATAGAATTTTAGAGTTGAAAAGAGATTTTAAAAACAGCTTGAATTCATTTCCCCATCTTTTATCTCAGCCTGCCTGCCAAGAGGCATTCAGGACCATGCTTGCACGCTTCCGGTAATGAGGAACTGGCTGTCTCCAGAGATGGCCTAGTATATCAGGGGATGCTCTACACTGGGCTGAATCGCACACATAGGGCTTGGATCTGGTGCTGTTGGGTTTTCAGGCTTGCTTGTACCTGGTGTGAAATGTTCAGATCTGGTTTTCTTTGGGAGGGAGTACCGGCCTGAAGGCTGCCTGTTTTGGGGTGGTTCTTTTAGAAAATTCGTTGTCCAAAAAGTCATCAGAATTGGGTAAGGAAGCAGGCAATCTTATGTGTCTTTGGCATCTCATCAAGAAATTTCCAACCTCCTCACTGTGTCTGCTGAGTCCTAAGCAAACTGCAGCTTGTGGCTTGTTGTAAACTATGCAGGGTAGTGATCCTGAAGGCACATTTATTAACCCCTGACCTCAGCATACAAGGTAGGGCATGCAACCATGGTGAATCCTGGAAGGTTTCCTCCTGGAAATTGGGCATGGTGCATACACTGGTGGAAGAAAATAAAACCACCAATGAAATTCTATCTTCAATGCCGAAGATGCTGTATTAGTCTGTTCTCACACTGCTATAAAGAACTACCCAAGACTGGGTAATTTATAAAGAAAAGAGGTTTAATTGACTCACAGTTCCACATGGCTAGGAAGGCCTCAGGAGACTTACAATCATGGTAGACAGGTAAGCAGGCATGTCTTACATAGCAGCAGGCGAGAGACCATGTCAAAGAAGCAAAGGGGAAAGAGCCACTTATAAAAACATCACGTCTCCTGAGAACTCACTCACTCATATGAAAACAGCATGGGGAAAACTGCCCTTAAGATCCAATTGGCTTCCCCAGGTCCCTCCCTCAACACCTGGGGATTACAAGTGAAGATGAGATTTTGGTGGGTACACAAAGCCAAACCACATCAAATGCTAAGTGATAGTTTTATAACACTCACCTCAAATATACTTGCCAAATAGAGGCAGACTTATTGGAGAGCTACTTATTTATATTATTTGTTCTTAACTTCAAGGCAACATGCAAAAGGAACCAGCAAATGTTAAGAAGCCAAACTCCTTAATAACCCTTTAAAAAAAACAGCTTTATTGAGATATATGTCACAATGATTCACCTTTTACAGGTGTCCAATTTGGGAGTATTTCGTGCATTCACAATGTTGTACAGCCATTACCTATCTAGTTCCAAAACATTTGCATCACTCCAAAAGAAAACACTGGACTCATGGAGTCATTCCCATTCCCTCCCTCACCCAGCCTTAGGCAACCACTTATCCTAATGCCTGATTCTATTGATTTGCCTATCCTGGACATTTCATACAAATGAAATTATGTGTGTGGCGTCTTTCACTTAGTGTAATGTTTTCAAGGCTCATCCATGTTGTGGCATGTATTGGTACTTCATTCCTTTTAAGATGGAATTTCACTCTTGTTGCCCAGGCTAGAGTACAGTGGTGTGATCTCAGTTCACTGTCACCTCTGACTCCTGGGTTCAAGTGATTCTCCTGCCTTAGTCACCTGAGTAGCTGGGACTACAGGCGCCTGCCACCACACTTGGCTAATTTTTTTTTTTTTGGTATGTTAGTAGAGATGGGGTTTTGCCATGTTGGCCAGGCTGGTCTCGAACTCCTGACCTCAGGTGATCTGCCTGCCTCAGCCTCCCAACGTGATGGAATTACAGGCATGAGCCACTGCACCCAGCTCTTCATTTCTCTTTATGAATTACTAATTTTCTGTGGATAGACCACATTTTGCTTATCCATTTATCAAGTAACGAACATGTGTGTTGTTTCTTTTTTCATGTCATAGTTTATTTACACACATATCTAGTATGTCATATGAATTCAAGTTTGATCCAGTTTCCAGAGACTGCACCTCTTAGAATGCTTTTCATTTCTGTTAAATGGATGAACTGAAACATCCTTATTCTTTAAGCAGTTGGTGTCTTACTATAAAGAAAGGCTCATCAAATCCAGATCCAAAGTACAAACACATCATGGCTAGTAACCGACACTTGTTTTCCACTGACAATGGCAAATTCTTCCCAGGGCCCTCCTCATAGTGCACCTAGGACTGCAGAGGTTGTGAACCTCTGGATGCTCTGGCCCAACATAGCGCTGCTGGAAGCTCTGCGAAAGGCACAGAGACCAAGGATGGAAGAAATGGCGGCACCCACAAAGACCTTTTATTCACCCATGTGTGTTGTTTCTTCTTTTTGGCTATTATAGATAATGTTTATGTGAACATTATTGCACGAATGTTTGTATTGACGTATATTTTCAGTTCTATTGAGTAAACGTGTAGGAGTGGAATTGTCAGGTCATATGCTCTTAATAACCTTTTAAAATTCCTTTTTTTGTTTGCTATACTTGGGACCCATATTCCTTTACTTTGGATTTTACATTCACTTCCTTTGTGCTGAATATTGTCAGTGACTTGATAGAAACTTAATAGCCTGTGTAGAAATAATTAAAAATTATTCAAGTGAGAATAAACTGAATGCTTGTTATATCTGTTAGGTTATATTTGCCTGTGTTCTCTTCCTTACCAAGCTTCTACCTGAAGATTTACAAAGACGTTTTATTTCTTTTCCAGAACCGCAATGAGATAAAAAATGGCACCATCCTTCGATTAACCACGTCTCCAGTAAGTCGCTCTCAGCTTCAAACTTCCCAGTAAACTCTTTGCTCTGCATTTCTGCTATATGTGATTATGTGATATTAATTTTTGAGGATGGCTTTAGTGCAAAACCAAAGGCTTCCACAATGTCCTTACATGCAGATTCTGGATTAGCAGGAATGCCCCTCTATAGATTTCCCGCTGTAGAGGAGGAAGAACTTATTCCAAGAGAAGAGCTAGTAAGTTGATCATGAAACCTTTCAGGCAAGCTTGTCTAACCTGCAGCCCAGGATAGCTTTGAATTCACGAATCTGTAAACTTTCCTAAAACATAATGAATATTTTTGTTCTTTTATTTAGTTCATCAGCTATCGTTAGTGTTAGTGTATTTTATGTGTGGCCCAAGACGTTCTTCTTCTTCCTGTGGCCTAGGGAAACCTAAACATTGGACACCTCTGCTTTAAGGTTTGAGTTTGGAAGTCATCTTAACAAATTCTGTTACAGATGGGATCGCTCACCTGTACTAGTTGGTTTTACCCATCTGCTCACACACCCACCTAATGCCATCTGAGCAAATTCAGACAACAAAGCCATCAAAACCAAAGTCTGTCACTTCCCTTTAAAGTCGAGGTGTGTATGTGTGTGTGTATGTGTGTGTGAAAGAGAGAGTTTAAGTATTTTGTAGCTTAGTCTGTTATTATGACAATTCATAAAACTAATTTACAAATATTGACCACTTCACTGTTCCACTAACAGCTGATTCTACATAGAGAACGTTAGAGTCTTCTGAATTAAAACCGCTAAAGAAGATGTTACAGTATATTTAGACTATTGTAGCTGATGATGTCTCTTTTCTTGATCTTTCCTACTTGCTTGTAGATACTTTAGGTAGCAACATTAGCATATTTAATGATATTATTTCACAGTGCATTTCATTGCTTTCCTAAAAAAATAATCCGCCTAAAATATACCAAGTGTTACTATTTTCACTCTGCATATATGATGAAAACTGTGTCTAAGTATCATTTTCAGTTTCCACTGAAGCCATGTGGTAGGCTAAAAATAAATTTAAAAATTGGGAAAAGCATCTGGCTAAAATTAAGCTGTGGGTACTGTAACTACCATAAATTCTTATTGTTGAAAATTACATTAGAGCGGCTTAGAAACTCCTAAACATTTTGCCCAATAACATCTTGAACCAAAACCAGTGATGAGCTCAATGGAGTGAGTTGCTACAGTTGGCTGAACTGTCTTTGATGCCTGCTTTGCTACTTAATGGAAATTATAATCTTTACTCATTTTTCAGTGGCTGCATGATGAGCTGAGGCATTTTTGTCTGACTTTGCGTTGGTCTTCTTACTCAAATCAGCATGAATGAATGTTAATTTGACCTTTAGACCATTGTTTTCTTTGTTTTTTGTAGTTTCTATTTATTCTGATAAAAGTCATCATCTGCTTGCTGGGCAGAAAAAGTATACCTTGCCTTTTATTTCATTTTAGATTCTAAAAGACAGCTTTTTAATCGAAGCCTTCTCTAAGCCAAAGAAAGAGTTTCATTTTTTATTGCCGTGGATTCATGAACAAAATTTCCACAATCTAAGTCACCCCTTGAAAGAAGGCTAGGTGTTAGACAGGATGAAGTTTTTCAGCATCCCAAAAGAAACTTTGCATGACTTGTCATCAGGGAGAATGGAATTTGCGTTCCTGAGATAATGATCCTCACATTCCCAGCTCAGTGAATGGAAAGATGTGAAAGCCAGTGTAAGAGGCACTATTAAAAGATGGGAGCCCACCTGCAAGAGACTGGCTTACATTTTCCAAAAAGCAGTGGTTCCCAAACCTGGATCAGCTGTGGAACTTTGAAAATGCTGATGTCTGGGGCCTTAATAGAGAGACTGGATTACAATATTTGGGAATAGGCCCCAGGAATCTACATTTTAAGCAATCATCTTGTGGTTTGGATGTAGCCACATGTTTTATAATTGGGAAATTACTCTATAAGCAAGAAATTTGGGATCTGTGAACTTTATTTGTTGCTAACAGGTTATTTTTTAATAATAATTTTGCATTTAGCTGAAAAACATAGCTCGTACATGCTCTTTCATTTTTCTATATATAATAAAAACATGTTTAAAAAACACACCTATTAGAGTACCATAAGACAAAGCCGGCAGATGGTGTTACACTAGCTTTTGAAGTTCCTTCATCTGCCTCAGCTGAACTCTCCGTGAAGCCAGATAAGGACTTCTCAACAGCCATATGGGTATACACACACAAACACACACACACACACACACACACACACACACACACTCTCTCTCTCTCTCTCTCTCTCTCTCTCTATCTCTCTCTCTCTCTCTCTCACTCTCTCTCCCCTGTTTTTATGTAATGTGTAGCTGCGCTTAGTTTTACCTCCACTCTGTCAAAAGTGGTCTTTTTGTTGATGGATGAATTTGTTTTCTGTCTCCGTTTATCACAGAACAATCCTTTCTGAATTGTTCCTAGAGAAATAGGTCATTAATGCTAGAAGATCTAAACAAACAGCCTGCACTGTTTAACTTGTAATAGGCCTTGTACATGGCTGCCATTTCTCCACTGCTTGGTACATCTTTACACAGTCTCTCTAGTGGCTGCGTTAAACAAGTGTATTGTTCTGGTGTCGTATCTTTATCCATCTCTCCATTAGCATAAAAATATAGCCAAGAACACACACAGAGAATGTGTGTAAATGTGTGTGAACTTCGGAGCAGTCAGCGTTTGGGGAGCTTCCAAGTGCATAGCTGAGTAATGTCTCCTTCTACCTGCCATGATCATAATAGCTGTGGACATCGAGTCTGAGGTCCTCTGTTGCATGCAGCATATTTTACAATCAGCTTTGGCCATTGTTCATATCAGAAGAAACCTGGCTAGTCAGACTGTTGTTGCTACTTTTCTGAAATTTTTGCCTTAAAAAGTGCTTATGATGACTATATTTGTAGTCTTGAAGTGGAGAGAAACTTCTAAGTGGAACACAAAATGCAGAAGCCATAAATAAACAGATTAATAAATTTGACTACCAAAAAATATATACAACCCCACAAAAACTTTGGAAAGAATTCCAGAAACAAAGTTAAAAACATTAGAAAAAATAATTGACAACTGCATAATAGAGGGCCAGTTAATTCATTTGCAAGATGCTTTATGAGTGGTTAAAGAAATCATCCCAAAAGACAGCCTGCCAAAAGCTATGACCAGGGGAAAAATACCCAAAATAATATCTATCAATCAATCAATCATCTCCCTGTCTGTCTGTCTGTCTGTCTGTCTGTCTGTCTACCTACCTATCTGAGAAGAACTTCAATCTCTCTGTTAGAGATGAAAACCTACAGTCCTAGATAATCAAAGTGTGAAGAAAAGATGCTGTGGAGTCAGGATTTTGAAAATTTGAAGTAGAATCTATTGGTGTGCCCTCTTTGGAGGGCAGTTTAGTGGTATTCACCTAAGTTCAAAACATATATACCTTTGTCTTAGCAGTACTGCTCCTGGGAATTTATGTAATAAAGAGACTCACAAAAGCACTGCAGGATGAACACACACACACACACACACACACACACACAGCTATATGCACACACGCACACACACACACACACAGCTATATGCATCATTGTTTTTAGGGATCAAATCCTGGGAACCTGTTATATGTTTATCAGTGGGACTAGGTCAGTGCTGTAGGTAATGTCCATGCTGTTGAATACCGTGTAGTTGTTAGTAAGAATGTGTATGTGCTGCCAAGGTGGTATCTCTAAAGTATTTCATTAAGCACAAAAGCAGGTTGCAGAACATCCTATATAGAAGGATGCTTGTTATGTATGTGGAAAAGAGGTGTATATATATATATATATATATATATGCAGATAAAAGGATACAGCGTTTCTCAAGGGATACCCACAAGAAACTGTTAACTTTGGGCTAACTTAATTTTTTAATTTTATAACTTCCAGTAGTAAGTAACTACTGAAAGTTATAAAATTAAAAATTATATATATATACACACACACACACACACACACACATATCAAATATAGATATATATGATTACTACTGGAAGTTATAAAATTAAAATATGTATATATATATTTGAGATGGAGGCTTGCTTTGTTGCCCAGGCTGGAGTGCAGTGGTGCGATCTTGGCTCACTGAAACCTCGATCTCCTGGGTTCAAGCAATTCTCCTGCCTCAGCCTCCTGAGTAGCTGGGACTACAGGCATGCACCACCATGCCTGACTGATTTTTGAATTTTTAGTAGAGATGGGGTTTCCCCATGTTGGCAAGACTGATCTTGAACTCCTGACCTCGTTATATGCCTGCCTCGGCCTCCCAAAGTGCTGGGATTACAGGTGTGACCAACCATGCCTGGCCGTACTCATATATTTCTACCTATTGTGTTGGTATTATTTTTAATTAAAGAAACACACAAATACATATTATAAAGCCATTACAGTACAAAAGAGGTGAATCATAACGTCCCATGCTAAAAATATGTCAGTTTTGCAAACTATGATTTTTTTTTGTGAACCCTATTACATGCAAACTGAATTATTGCCCATTATGCCTTCTTTTGGCCTGCGTGGACGTATTTTAGAAAGCAGAACTGCTCATCAATTTCCTATTGTTGCTTTGTCAGCTGTAAGCATAATCCTTGCTTTCTGCTCTTTCTGGTTTAGGGAGCTGGTATCAGCATTATCTAGGTCAGAAGGACTGTCATAATGATTTTTGGGTCTCATTCCCTATGGCAAAAAGAAAAATAGTATTATTTGAGGCACTGTGTGGATTCAGGTTATCAGAGATTCTTAACAATAAGACTATTAATGTTTTTTTAAATTCCACTTTTCAATTCAATTCAGGTTTTCAGTTTTTCTCTCCTGGTTTGAGAAACTAATAAAGGATTGTAAAATGCCTTAAATTCTATTTCTTGCCATTGCTGTCAGAGGCCTAGTTTAAGGGAGAAGAAACCAGCGGAGGCTGGCAGGCAGAGAAGTCACAGGT